TCTCCTGCGTGTAGCCGATCTCTTTAAAACATTCACCTGACCTTGTGTTTGAAGTGAGTAGGGAACTGCTTGGGTCTGCCTCCCACCGTATTGTGTCTTCTCAGTGTCCTTCTCTCTCCTGACACAGACCCAGTTCCTGTGACTGATGATCATTGTGGGGACACGGACACAAGGCCACTAGCAGAATGTGGTTCCCAGACTTCCTCTCACTTTGTTCTAATCACAGGACTAAGTTAAGGTCGGTGGGTGGGGAGCAGAATTGCTTCTCACACCTTTCAGGTTTTGCCCTTAAAAAGAAAAAAAGAGGCCTCATGCTTTCCCTTCTCCTCCTTTCTGTTAGCTAGAATAGAAACAGGACAGAGGGAGCTACTGCAGCCCTCTTGGATCATGAGGACAGCTTCAAGGTGAAGTACCAGTGCCCTGCTAATCATCTTGGGTATTATTCTGATTAAGAGAGAAATAAGCCAAAGGGTTGGAAGATGCCATGCCGCCTGCAGCACTCACATCAATTTGCCAGTAAAGAACAGGAGAATTACTGCATTTCAATGCAGAGGAGGGTTGCAGCCTGTTTACCGAATCCTGGGTGCAAACGCTCCCCAGCAAATCGCTCTGAGCGCTGCAACAGTGCCCAGCACATGACAGCCTCTCAGTTTATCAGAACCCTGACCACAAAGTCAGGAACGCGCGAAGTTCTCCACAGGTGCCCACTCTTCACTGTGAGGGACGAGGGGTGCTCCAGGGATTGGACTAAGAGAAGCCCCCAATATCCCCACTGTTTTATTCATATAGATGGGGGTGGGGGCCCCACCCTCCACCCAGCACCATCTAAACTGCTTTCTGCTGCCATTGCGGTGTTCGCCATCCTGAGGTCCCTGAGAAGAGAGGGATGGCTGTGCGTTGAACATGGAAGCAAGTCACACGGGGAAACTCCGGCTGCAGCAGAACTGGAGGAGGAAAAGAGAGGCCAGGGCAGGGCAGGGAGGGCAGAGAGGACCCTGGAGCAGGTGAAGGCCCTCCCCGGGGGGCCTTCGAGACAGCGCAGGCTCCCTCACTGCTGGGCTGGAGGAGGTGGATGTGGGCTCCCCCTGGTGTCCTTAGTCACCTTTCATAATCAGAAGGGAGGACACCATGCAGAAACAGCTCCTCAGGAGTCTGGAATTAACAGGACAAGTTGCTCTAACTGCAGGGAACCGGCCGTGTGGCTGACTTGCCCCCCACCCAGTTCTTATGTAGGGTTCCCAGCATCTCAGAAAGGGCCTATATTTGGAGATAGGACCTTCAGAAAGGTGTTAAATTAGGAAGGGCTTTAGGGCGGACCCTGAGCTGACTGGCCTGCTTTAAGATGTCCAAGCTGTAAGAGGAAAAGCCATTTGAAGACTTCGCAAAGAGGTACTGTCTGCAAGCCAAGGAGAGGGCTCAGGGCTCAGAAGCCAGTCTGAGACACCTTGAACTTGCACCTGCACTTCCAACCCCAGAACTGTGGGAAGAAACTTCTGCTGTTTACATCGCCTGCCCTGTGGCACAGTGGCCTGGAAAACCAGTGCTCTTGTGTGCTGAGTATGTGTGTCGTGCTGCTTAGACCAGGATCTCTGTGTGCACGTGTCCTAAGGACCTGCAGCTCCAGTGCTTCTCAGAAACCCTAAAACACAACGGTGTGGAAATATTTCTGGGTTTTTTTTTCATTTTTTTATTCATATGTGCATACAATGCTTGGGTCATTTCTCCTCCCTTCTCCCACCCGCTCCCATACCCCCCCTGCCCCCTCCCTCTCCCTCGATACCCAGCAGAAACTATTTTGCCCTTATCTCTGATTTTGTTGAAGAGAGAGTATAAGCCATAATAGGAAGGAACAAGGGGTTTTGCTGGTTGAGATAAGGATAGCTATACAGGGCATTGACTCACATTGATTTCCTGTGCATGTGTGTTACCTTCTAGGTTAATTCTTTTTGATCTCACCTTTTCTCTAGTTCCTGGTCCCCTTTTCCTATTGGCCTCAGTTGCTTTTAAGGTATCTGCTTTAGTTTCTCTGCGTTAAGGGCAACAAATGCTAGCTAGTTTTTTAGGTGTCTTACCTATCCTCACCCCTCCCTTGTGTGCTCTCGCTTTTATCATGTGCTCATAGTCCAATCCCCTTGTTGTGTTTGCCCTTGATCTAATGTCCACATATGAGGGAGAACATACGATTTTTGGTCTTTTGGGCCAGGCTAACCTCACTCAGAATGATGTTCTCCAATTCCATCCATTTACCAGCGAATGATAACATTTCGTTCTTCTTCATGGCTGCATAAAATTCCATTGTGTATAGATACCACATTTTCTTGATCCATTCGTCAGTGGTGGGGCATCTTGGCTGTTTCCATAACTTGGCTATTGTGAATAGTGCCGCAATAAACATGGGTGTGCAGGTGCCTCTGGAGTAACCTGTGTCACAGTCTTTTGGGTATATCCCCAAGAGTGGTATTGCTGGATCAAATGGTAGATCAATGTTTAGCTTTTTAAGTAGCCTCCAAACTTTTTTCCAGAGTGGTTGTACTAGTCTACATTCCCACCAACAGTGTAAGAGGGTTCCTTTTTCCCCACATCCTCGCCAACACCTGTTGTTAGTGGTGTTGCTGATGATGGCTATTCTAACAGGGGTGAGGTGGACTCTTAGTGTGGTTTTAATTTGCATTTCCTTTATTGCTAGAGATGGTGAGCATTTTTTCATGTGTTTTTTGGCCATTTGAATTTCTTCTTTCGAAAAAGTTCTGTTTAGTTCACTTGCCCATTTCTTTATTGGCTCATTAGTTTTGGGAGAATTTAGTTTTTTAAGTTCCCTGTATATTCTGATTATCAGTCCTTTGATGTGTAGCTGGCAAATATTTTCTCCCACTCTGTGGGTGTTCTCTGCAGTTTAGAGACCATTTCTTTTGTTGAGCAGAAGCTTTTTAGTTTTATGAAGTCCCATTTATCTATGCTATCTCTTAGTTGCTGCACTGCTGGGGTTCCATTGAGAAAGTTAAATATTTCTGTTTTTCTGGCCTCACTTAAAAATGATTCCATCTGTCTTCAGAAGCAAATCAGTGTGCAATAGGCAAAGCATTGCCTAAATGCTTTCACCTTGGCAGGATTTGTACATATGGAGTAGAATCTTACTTAGTACAAATACATGATGGAGACCATGTCAATGCTTTGTAGCAGGACCAAGAAAAATGTCTTCTGGTCACAAGCAGATGTGCGTGCACACACGTACATCCCACGTGTGTAATAAATACAAGCGTGCAGTATTTGTGCAATCCCCTCGTGGACTCCCGGGGGGCAGGTGACATCACCACACCCCACAGGATCCGTGTGCCTGGCCTGGAGCTCAGGGCTACCATGCAGCCAGCCCGGCTTGAGAAGCATGTGGTGTGGCACACTTGAGAAACACTGGCACATACCGACCGTAGCCAAAACACTCCAAGGGCCATTGCTGAAAGAAGCCTCTTCAGCTGCCTGACATTTTCAATCATGCAGAAGAGCTCACTTCCCAGCCAGGGCAAAAGAGCGAGACCTGCCTGTGCCCGTTTCAAACATCAGCCTGACCTTTGGGGTCACCTCAGTGACCACTCAGACAGATGTCTCTTCCGCTTTGATTTCCGGAGTCCGCCCCTGACAGGTCAGAGTTGTCAAACACCACTCTGTCTTGCAGCGGGCTCCTGGGGCCGAGCAATGAGGCTGAACATAGCTCCTACTTCACACACAGCATGCAGTTTTATTTTGCAAAGCCGAACAATGCTTACGAATACAGACTTTGAATCTTCAGACATTATTCTGCTGCATTTTATAGAGACATAACTGGAGCTTATAAGAGCCACACGAAGTTTCAAATAACACATTTGTCAGGATTATACATGTCAGTATTCGTGATACCAGGACAGCCCTTCCTAAAACATTTGTATTTTTGTAATTTCCCTGTGTTTGTACATTGAAACAGCACTCGAAAAACTAGAATTCGCTCAGCTTTCCATGAAATTGAAGAGTTGCTGAAATCTGATTCCATAAGTCATGTCAGACTTTGTTTGAAACCACTTTACAATCGCTCTAAGAGGCCAGCACCCTTCTCACTCCACACTGGGTAACTTGAAGCCCTTTACAACCTTCCAGTATGGAAGAAAACTTCTTTCTATGTTATCTCAGCCAAGTTTCCTTCTGCTTAAAAAAAGCATTCTATTTATGAGAATAAGTAAAAATATCTAGCACTTTAAACTGCACAATGTCTCTAATTTCATTATGGTGCATTGAACAAATATCTATTGAACTCCTTTGCTATGCTAAAAACTGCTGATCTCTGGAGCCCAGTTACCAACAAGACCTCATGGAGCCTGGCTTTGGTCCTCAAGGGGAGGTGCCCATTGCAGAGAACGGTGCTGTACAGCCTGCTCCAACTTTGTCCAGCAAGACAGGCGACACCAATTGCTATTCAGCCTCTCTCCTGTTTTCTACATCACCAACACATGGGCTTGACTTTCTCCTGCCTTGGACAGCCTGGCACTTGCCGGTGTATCAAAATGATACAAGATCCAAGGTTTTGCTACTTACAGTTAGGAACAGTAGACATTGTTGAAACTTTTCCCTTAGATGAATTACAGGAGCCATCCTTTGTCTTTCCATCATTTGTGATCTATGCCCCTTCATGAATATTTCTGAAAGATTTTACCTTCATAAGCAACTCATGTTAATTCAGCATTTCCCAAAGCCTGTTTTGTGGAATGGGCTGTGAGACTTCAGAGCCACATCATTTTTGTGACACACATTGGGGACACACTTCTGTCGGAGCCCCCCTGCCTCCCATGCAGAGGTCCACACGGCCGGGAGCACAGGGAGCACTGAGCCCGCAAGAAACACACTGCTGGTTTGTTCAATTTCCACAATTATCATGCATATTTGCCCGCGAATCTTTCCTTTCTTTTTTTTTTTTTCACAACATCTTTTAGCAAGTTCCACAGAGGCCTTAGGGGTGCGTGCCTCATACCTGCATGTCACATGGTAAAGGATGACGCATTATCACTCTCCACAGTCTCACTGGCCTGCCTGGGAAGGTAGCTCTCGGAGTGTATCTTGGCACAGGAGAAGCCCGGCATCTTGTGCTTTCTTCTCATGCACCACAGGTCCTTCATGATCTTCAGGAAGTAGTTTCGTAAACTTCTGGCCGATGAAAGCGTACAGTACCGGGTTGAGGCAGCAGTGGAGGAAAGCCAGGACTTCAGCGACGTTTCGGGTGTAGCCGATGAGTATTTCACTGCTACAGGATCTGTCCGTCCTGCCCATGTTCGCAGCGGTCACGAGGAGGACGACGTTGTGGGGAATCTGACAAGCCAGGAACACAAGGACCACCGCGATGACCACGCGGATGGCTCTGTGCCTCTTCGAATTCTGAGCCTGCACTAAGGTCTTGACGATGAACGTGTAGCAGAACACCATGAACACCAAGGGGATGAAGAAGCCAAAGAGGAGCTCCAGCCCCAGCCCCAGCAGCTTCCACACGATGGGCTTGGACACAGAGCCATACTTGGCCTCACAGACGTCCTGGCCTTGCAGGCGGTATTTCTGATTGAAGGCGAACGTTGAGCTGGAGATGACGAGTGACAGAGCCCACACCACAACGCAGATTAGTTTGCCATGTGCCAGTGTCCTGGATCGGAGCCGGAAAGATCTGGCTGCCTGGACAATGGCAATGTACCGGTCCACGCTCACACAAGCCAGCAGCAGCATCCCGCAGTTGAAGTTGACGGCATAGATGCCTTTCGTCAGTTTGCAGAGAGCATCACTGAAGATCCAAGCGCCTGTAGCATGAGTCACTGCCCAGAATGGAAGAGTGAGGACAAAAGTATGTCTGCGACAGCCATGTTCAAGAGATAGACATCTGTCATGGACTTGGCCTTCTTATAAAAAGCAAAGGTGATCACCACCAGAGTATTTCCCAGGAGGCCAAAGACACAGATCAAAGAGTAGGCAATGGGCACAAACACCCTGGAGAATTTTCTGACCTCCTGAAAGGAACATGGCAAGACAGGTGTGTAATTAGTTGGATAATCTAGAAGACTTGTATTATAAGGGTATGAGTAGTCATCATTTACATCGTAAGCATCCTGGGAACTCCATGGTTCCTGAAAAGCAAACAAAGAAAGAGTTAGCCAAAGCACAATGGCAGTAGCCACAGTTAACTGAAATCATACATCCTGCCAAAAACAAACCAGATGCTTACCTCACCCATCATGCTCTGTGATGTGGGCAGGGGAGGCGGGCCTGGTGTAGGAAGGGCGGTAGATGGCTCAGCTGCACGGCTTACCAGCAAAGATGTCAGAAGGGAAGCTGAAGAAGACAGAAAAACAAGGCCCTGCAGTCACAGACACATCTGGCACAGCCTAGACTTGGGGTACAGCATTGGGTCCCATTGGAACACAGTGCACAGCACACTATTTGATATCAAAATACCCATTTAGAACAGGCTCCAATCTCCTTCTGCAAAGAGTCAGAGAGCAAGCACTATAGACTATGCAACCTCTGTGGTCTCTGTCACAATGACTCAAGTCCTCCCTTGTGCCTGGCAAGCAGTCATAGAAAATGTAGCAGTAAGTGGATCTGACCAGACATGGTTGGCCAAGCACTGTGATTTGCCAACCTCTGGTCTTTCACTTAAAGAAAGGTGACATTAGAAAAACCACAGGTTTTCCCCTACACAAAAATCTTCAGGCAAAATTCAATTTAATTATGTATAAGAGGCTCTGCTGAACAAAATCTATACTCATATAAATGTGTATAGAAACTCATGATTTACAGTCTTAGACTCCAGGGTAGTCAGTGATTTCCACCCATGTGGGTATGTGAGAGCCTGGGGCAGAATTTCTTAAGGTTTGGATGGCAGTGTCATTCTTGAGGTTCACCCTCTGAGCCTGGGAAGGCAGTGGGCAGGTGCGGAGAAGTTTCTCACCAGCCTTCCCATGGATGCCCCAGTTAACAGGTACTAACCTGCAGGGGAGGGCACCTCCCAGCTGTCCACCTGCAGGGAGGAAGGTTAAGGCTGGCATCACAGGACACCTGGGTGGGGCAGGAAGCTCTGCTCTGGGTCTTTGGAGAATGGGCAGCCTGTGGGTCACTGCACAGCAGAAGACCCTCTCCCAATGGTGACTAACATAGCCCAGGTGGAGGAGCTCAAGTCCTGGCATGGTCAGTTTGTGGAAAGCAGCCTGAACCAGCTGGATTGTTAGCAAATATTTACAGAGCATATAGTGTGTGAGAATGCAAGTAGGAGCGCAGCCACGGAAGGGGAGAGCTGTGTCTCACGAGGAGCCCAATTAAGGAGGACTCAAAGATTTACCATTTGCAACCAAGTCCGACAAGAAGAAGGAAGAGCTAGCTGGGAGCCAGATTACAGATTACTCACATCTGTAATCCTAGCTATGTAGGAGGCAGAGATCAGGAGGATCATGGTTCAAAGCCAGCTAGGGCAAATAGTTTGGAGACCCTGTCTCAAAAAATCCCATCACAAAAAGGGCTGGTGGAGTGGCTCAAGTTTTAGGCCCAATGTTCAAACCCCAGTACTGCAAAAAAAAAAAAAAAAAGATGCAAGAGCTTTTGGCTTTCCTGGCTCACTCTGTGTTTGGCATTATGTGTCATCCTGCTCTCTGAACCATTCCTCACCACCCAGCAAATCCTTCACCTAAAACTCTCAGCTTCTTGTGGTGAATTGACTCGTCACTCACCACACTCGCTCATTCTCTTCCTCTCTGTCCTGCCGCCTGGCCACATGGGCCTGGCAAGGTTAAGAGGGAGGGAGAACGGAGTGTGGTCTCAGGCGGCAGCTTGGGAAGTCAGAGCTTCCTCGTAGCCCACGACACTGCATTCCATCGGTCCTCTCGTGCAGTCACTGTGGGTACCCAGCATCTGGAGGAGGAAGTGATCTAACACGAGGCTTACCCTGAATGATGTTCTGAACACATTTTCGTAGAACTGGGCTCTCATGTTGTGTTTACTGACCACATATCTTCCCTGGTACCTGAGGTCACACCTTGGAGACCAGTCTTTGTCAACCCTTACCCACTGCTTTTGGCAGAGTAGAGGGTGGAGGAGAGGTGGAGTCACCCCTGCCCTTTGCAGGTGCCAGCAGGTTAAAGTTGTCAGTACTTTGGGGCATGGGAGACGCCTAGCACAGAACTGCTTTGCTGCAAATGCATTGTGAGGAGCTGGTCACATCGGTTAATGCACAATGGATTAACAGGAACCCTAGGAGCCCCGCTGAATTAACCAATTAGAAAAGGCTACAAACACAGTGCCAGTTTCCTGACATCAGGCCATGCATCTCAGGACAGCAGCTCTTGGGTGCCATGGGCTCCGCCAGTCCCCAGCTCACTGTAGAGCAGGCTGGGAGGCGATCCCACAGAGCGTGCAGCCTCGCCGAGCTGAGGAGACAGAGACGTGCAGAGAAATTAGAACAGCAGAGGTGTTTCCACAAGAAGCAGCTACTTGAGGCTAGACAAAGAACTTCCAGAAAGGGAGACTTCTCAGACACACACCCGGCCCATGTTGGCCACAGTTCTCACCCCCTAACAGGCAGGGAAACCACATGCAACTCACAGAATCCTGAGAAGGCACCACCCCACGTGGGTGATGCTAACACAGTTCTACCCTGAATGTGCTCTGGACAGAAGTCTCAAAGGATCCATCCAGCTCCAGAGTCTACCTGCTTTCCAGAGCAAGCCCACAATTATTTAAACGAGTACAACTAAGCCAAGCCCTCCACAATGTAAGAGTCATAGCGTCAGGCGACCAAAGGAGAAAGTTCTGAACTTTTAAAGAATCAGAAAAATAAGGTCCACAGTCTACACAAGAAAATCGAAAAATGATAGAAGTGGTAGAATCAGCAGAAAAAGATGACACGTATATAACTATATTCTCCATATGTATTAGAAAGTGGAGGGAATCATGAATGCAATGAGGGTGGTGATGAGAGAAGTTTTTAAAATCCCCAAATGACAGGACAGTACAGACAAGACGTCCTACGGGGAAAATGAGAAAAGCACTGAATGGGGCGAACCTCAGACTAGACGCGGTGCATGTGGGCTCGGCATTGTCACTGCACACCTGTGGGCTTGGCATTGTCACTGCACACCCTCCCCCACGAGGTTTGGGAATCAAAGCTCACAGAGAGCAGTAGACACAGTCGCATCTACCCAACACGATGCGAGCATTTCAGGTTTTTACGCCGAGCTCTGTAAAAGAAAGCAAATGAGACGTAAAGCTGGGGAGCCATGCTCAGATGGCTGAGTGTTCTTCCTTTCCAGACTGACTGGAGACATAACGAAGACTAACATCAGCAGGAGGGCAGAGATTTTTTTTTTTTTTTGTAGAATTGACAAACTAATTCTGAAGTTTATAAAGAAATTCAAAGGCTTGGAATAGCTAAAGTAATTTTGAAAAGACGGCAAAATTGGAGGAGTCACACGATCTGATTTCAAGATATAGAAGGAGACGTCAATGCCCTGTGGCGTGGAGCTGCTGAAGGAAAGAATTTGCTCCACGAACCAGTGGAGCAGAGCTGTCTACAGCTAACAGTGCTGGAATGACAGGACAGTCGTGTGTAAAACCCTGGTCCTCGCCTGATACCTCACACCATGTGTAAAAGTAAACTCAAATGGATTATAGCTCTAACTGCCAGAGCAAAATATAAAACACCATGAAGGAAACTGAGGAGAAAATCTTCGTGATCTTTTCTTATATGAATTTCAAGAAGTACGAATGATGCAAAAATTGCTTGATGGTCTTGATCAGAATGAAAAACTTCTGCTCTGGAGGGGGATGAATGCAAAGATGATATATTGTAGGAAGTTTTGTAAATGTCACAATATACCCCCAGCACAACAATAATATTCTAATAAAAAAGAAAAGATTCTGCTTTTGAAAGACACTTAAGAAAATGAAAAACAATTAAATGGGGAAACAGTACTTGTAAGCTCATACGTGATAATAGATTGCATTTGGAATGTACAAAGAATTCTTGCAACGCAATACTTAAAAGACAATGCAAGCTGGATGCTGGTGGCTCACACCTGTAATCCTAACTACTCAGGAGGAACATGGTTCAAAACCCGCCCATGCAAATAGTTCACGAAATACCCAACATGGAAAAGGGCTGACAGTGTGGCTCAAGTGGTAAGAATGCCTGTCTAGCAAGTGTGAAGCCCCGAGTTCAAACCATAGTGCCAAGATAGGAGAGGGAGTTACCGGCTTCCAGGCTCCGCTACACTTCTCTAGCTGTAGCCTTTCCTTTCTCTCTAATAAATCCCACTTTTTATATATAAAAAAAAGAAAGAGGGGAAGAAAGGAAGGAAGAGAAGAAGGAAGGAAGGAAGGAAGGAGGAAAGAGGGGAGGGGAGGAGAAGGAAGGGGTGGGGAGGGAGGGGAGGGACTAATGTACTCATTAGTCCATACCCATGAAATTCTAGAAAAGACAAAATAACAGTGCTAGAAATCATGTTAATAATTGTCTTGGGATGATGACAAGAAGGAGACTGAGTGGAAAGAGCCACAAGGGACATGTTGTGGTGACAGAATCCCCCTGTGGTGACTGTAACTGGATTGTACACTTCAATTTGGTGCCATGTATTATGTATAAATTATGGGTCAATAAAGCTAACTTAAAAAATTGCATGCCCTCCCATGCAAGTATTTCATGCAAGCCATTGGTATAGAAAAGGTCAAAGAATGGAGCCACAGAACGTTCGTGGGCCAGTAGGACATGAAATGACCCTGAAGGATGGAAAAGCCACTCCTAGGGTGGAGTGGGGAGCACAAGTGGAGGAAGAGCACAAGTGGAGGAAGAGCGTTAGGGGGCACACAGGAGAGGAAGTTGTGACAATTGGGGTGCAGAGGCAGTGCAGAGGCCAAAGAGAGAAGGTGTTAATGGGGAGTTGCGTGGTTACCGAGAAGACTGAGAAGACAGGGAGGGAAGCACTCATTATGGGCCCCTTAGCTGGTTGAACTGGAGTGCAATGGCTCTGGGTAAAATTCCTGCCCTGCAGAGATTGGATGGCAGGAGTGGAATCACTGCTGAAGGTGGAAACCTTTGAGGGACCCAGTGCAAGGTGCATCAATGCCCAGCTGGATGCCTACTTAAAGGAAAATATTTTTCTCTGCACTCTGCTAAGTAATATTTTCTGAATTCAAATCAGATCAGTGCAGCAGAGGCTTATCAATGTCTACAGAGGACGGGTGCTGACTTAGGCAGAATAAACGTAAGCACTCACTTCAACACTCCAAGCCCGTCATTGTCAAAGTGTGTGACACTGGAGAAACGGGTGGACAGAAACCAGGGG